ATAACCTAGGTTATTTGTTCTGAATAAAGAAAATCTCTCTTTGTGTAGAATATTATAGCCCCTTCCTTAATAGCTATCTTTGGACTTTTCTAGTCTTCAAATTATTTCAGTACCTCTTTCACTATAATTTGCTACAATAACATGCTTTCTTTTAAGCACTAATTTCTCGTAATTGTGAATGCCCCAAAGTCACAGTATTGGTTACAAAGCTGGAGAGGTTTTCTGTTGAACTGGACAGAGGTACTCTTGACTAAAACAGATATAGAATTTGGGGTGAGGGGAAAGCTTCGGTAAGTTTTTGATTACTTCCCATGATGTAAAATCAAGAGATTTAAAAGTACATACTCTAGACCAAATAGGATCAAAAAGTGACTCAGATTTCAAGAATAGGATTGGCCAATATCCATTGAGAATTGTGAACTATGTATAGCATCAGTTGACCCAAAGGGCACTTCATAGGCCTACAGTGGTGAGAAGCACCTGTTCTGTTTGGTAATATCAGTGAGGAAGAAAAAGAAGGGACAGAGGAAGAGAGACAGAAAAAGAAGACCAGAGACAAGGAAGTTCTGGGATCTATTGCTGATTGGTTCTTCAACCCTTGAATGATACCCAGAAGGGAGAAACTGTTTTATATTTACAAAAAGCTTTTAGTTTCAAGATTACATCTTCTTCTCTCTCTCACACACACGCACATGCACACAGAGGGAAATATGTGTGTTCACAGCTAAGAAATTCAATAAACTGCATATTTTCTTGAAGGAAAAATCTTTGGCATTTATCCCTCCCTTGCAGGCATAAAGTTCAATAAGAAGAATCTCTCTTTCAGACTTATCTTGAATGGAAACCAAAACCATAGGCACTGAACACATTAGCACTTCCTGTTTATATGAAATCTAAAGATCTACATACCCTTAACAGAACACATCCATATCATAGCATAGATTGGAAAAGGAAGACATTGCATTTCTTAGTGATGTAAAATGAGACTCCTAAAATACACTTTTTAAAACATTCAAAGAATTGAGAAAGAGTATTTCCTCAAAAAAAAAAAAAAAATCTGGTGCCTGTCTATTAGAAAAATGTGATGACCATGGTCTTTTGCTAGACAAGCTTTTTATTTTTAAACTTTATCTTTTGTTGATAAATACCTCAAACTAGTTTCCCTCCCTATCTGTCTTCAAGCAGTTTCTTGCATTGTCACATGCAGCACCATAGGGTAGCCAAAAATAAAAAGCCCCAAGAATGTCTTTGACCAGGCTTGAAAAGAGAGGAAGAAAACTATCTATTCATGCAGATGTTTGGCAGATTGTACATGGAAAGAAAGAAAGGAATATTCGCTAGTAAAAATGAAATGAAAATGTGGGACCAGAAAAATCAGCTTTTTACCAAAAGGAGAGGCTGAGGAAAGGCTCAATGGTCAAAGAACAAGCAAATAGGTAACAATATCTAAATGATTCATACAGCTGTCTTCACCAAAAAGTTCAACATTAGTCATCCGTCCAACCCTTCCTCCTCAGACAATGTGTATGTTGCTAGGACTAAATTTCCCATTTTGCTTTGCAAATCACCTCTCACAAAGTAGAGTAAGTTATGAGAATCCTGGTAAAGCTAAGTTGCTATGTTAAAGTTGTGCCTCTGCAAGCAGATTAGACCAATGTGACCAGTCATTTGAAGGGAAATGGGCAGTGGAGGAGTTAGGGCATACCGATAGTGCTCCTTTAGCATTATAAGGAGCAGCAAGGAGCGATCCTGCCTCCTCCTCAGCACTGGCGAGGCCACAGCTGGAGTGCTGGGTCCAGTCCTGGGCTTCCCATGGCCAGAAAAACATGGACATACTGGAGCAAGTCCAGTAAAAGGTCACAAAGATGATGAAGGGACTGGGGCATCCGTCATACGAGGAGAGGCTGAGGGAGCTGGGCCTGTCCAGTCTGGAGAAGAGAAGGCTCAAAGGGAGATCTTATCAGTGTGTATATAACTATCTGACAGGAGATTGTAAAGAAGATGAAGTCAGACTCTTCTCAGTGGTGCCCAGTGAAATGGCAAGAGGCAACAGTCACTAACTGAAAGACAGCAAATTCCACTTAAACATAAGAAAAAACTTTTAGACTGTGAGGGTGGTGAAACACATGAATAGGTTGCCCAGACAGCACTCTGCTCTAGCGGACCCTGCTTTGAGCTGTCTGCACCCCTAGAAGTCCCTTCCAAACAATCAATTCTATGATTCTATTAGGAAGAGACAAAAGAAGGGCAGCTGTGTCTGAACAACATGGACTTAGTATTAGTTGTTGTCCCTGCACAAGCTAAGCCTTCAACAGGAGAAAACAGTCACACATCAATTGCCTGTATGTGACTGCATTCTGTGAAGGCAAATTGCTCATTAGACACAAAGTAGAGTAAGTTATGAGAATCCTGGTAAAGCTTAGTTGCTATGTTAAAGTTGTGCCTCTGCAAGCAGATTAGACCAATGTGACCAGTCATTTGAAGGGAAATGGGCAGTGGAGGAGTTAGGGCATACCGATAGTGCTCCTTTAGCATTATAAGGAGCAGCAAGGAGCGATCCTGCCTCCTCCTCAGCACTGGCGAGGCCACAGCTGGAGTGCTGGGTCCAGTCCTGGGCTTCCCATGGCCAGAAAAACATGGACATACTGGAGCAAGTCCAGTAAAAGGTCACAAAGATGATGAAGGGACTGGGGCATCCGTCATACGAGGAGAGGCTGAGGGAGCTGGGCCTGTCCAGTCTGGAGAAGAGAAGGCTCAAAGGGAGATCTTATCAGTGTGTATATAACTATCTGACAGGAGATTGTAAAGAAGATGAAGTCAGACTCTTCTCAGTGGTGCCCAGTGAAATGGCAAGAGGCAACAGTCACTAACTGAAAGACAGCAAATTCCACTTAAACATAAGAAAAAACTTTTAGACTGTGAGGGTGGTGAAACACATGAATAGGTTGCCCAGACAGCACTCTGCTCTAGCGGACCCTGCTTTGAGCTGTCTGCACCCCTAGAAGTCCCTTCCAAACAATCAATTCTATGATTCTATTAGGAAGAGACAAAAGAAGGGCAGCTGTGTCTGAACAACATGGACTTAGTATTAGTTGTTGTCCCTGCACAAGCTAAGCCTTCAACAGGAGAAAACAGTCACACATCAATTGCCTGTATGTGACTGCATTCTGTGAAGGCAAATTGCTCATTAGACTTAGAAGCAGCCTAAGCAATTATAGCCTAACCAGCTGCTTTTCTCTCCCCTGCATTTCCTGATGCCCAATACTTGAGGTTTAGCCAGTATGAGAACTGCATAACATAACATACAGATTAAGACAATGTATCTGTTTTCACCAATCAAATCACTACATTGTCTATTAGTGTCAGTATACACCCATCACTTGAAAGGATTTTTTTTTGCACCCCCTCCCCCACAAAGTCAGCACTCAAGTGGTAAGGTTAGTTTAATCAAAACAGGCTAATGTATGGCGGGAAGCCATCCTTCTGCTTTCACAACGCCTGTTCTCTTGCACCAAAGTATTGATAGTTATGCTTTACAGCTACAGGAGAAACGAGAGGAACCAATAAAATGTCCCATAGAAAAGCCAGAACATCTTACTCATGAGGAGCAGGCACCTGTGTACTGACCCAATTAGACATTCAAACACTTGTCACTTTGGAGCTGGCTGATTGTCACTCATCCAAGTAGCCTAAGGGGACCTATTGTACGGTGGCATTGCCTGACAGCAGAATTGGAGTTAGGGAGGCAATGAGGGCACAGCGATAGGGTGCCAGGATCCTGGTGAGCAAGAGCAGCTGCCAGCAAAGCCAAAAACCTTAGAGCTTCCTTAACTTGGTTAACATCCAAAAAGCTTTTCAAAATCTTCAATGGTTATCCTTTTTTCAGAGAAGTCCAGTTTGAAAACCTTACAGTAACAGCCCTCTTTATGGAAAGCTGCATTTAACTCTTGAGTGACTAACACACAAACCATGCGAGAAGAAACCCTTGAAAACCGGAAAAAATCTCTCTCTCCCTCTCTCTCTCTCTCTCCCCCTCTCTCTCACATTGGAGAGAAAGGATATCCTCAGTGATACCTTTTGCAACTCCACCAACATATAGTTCAAAAGTCAACACATTTCATTGCTTATTTCCTCCTTTCTCTGTTTTAAACCTATTATTCATGCTTTCAGATGCTCTGTCTGCTTGCACACATAAACGAGTGATAAAACACTGTGCAGCCGTCCACGCCTACGCACTATAAGAAAGGTCTGTTCCAGTAGACTGTACACAATACTGCACACTACCGCATTCAGGACCCCAAAATAAAACTTTTCTTTCAGAAAAGTCAAATATTAAAACACAGATGACTATTCAGCAGCTACTACTGACTTCAAGTAATGCTACTGCTGTTCTTATGTTGAAAGATTTATCCTATTCAAATACAAAAGTGAGGTGGAGGAGGGAAAAGATTAAAAAATGAATAATCAAAGCTTACTTCAAAACTTTCAAAACAGGCACTTTAACCTTAGGATCTAAACCATGGAACTGAAGAATTCATAATGCATCCATCACCAAAACTGTGATCTATGCTAGAGGAAAAAACTTTTTCGGTACAAAATATCCCAAGATCTGTCCAGCTTCTGTTTTGCAGAGACTCACTTGTTTAGTGTCTGACTTGTCCTGACACCTGTTCTCTCCAGCTGTGAACATCAGAGATGATTAAGCTTACATTCAAATATAGGAAGCTATGAAATACTTTTAGCTGCTTTTCCAGGTAATATATTTGATTTGAGCCCTTCAGCTAGAAGTTGAGATGACATTTTAAAATTTATACTAATCACAAACACTTCACCCAGACAAACATGGAAATGCAGCTAAACGCAGAATATATTATATGACTCTCCTGATAGTATGTAAACGTAAAACCAGTAGCTTTTTTTCCTCATAGAAAAAAAAAATCATTTTTCCTCATGATAAACATCATGGGATGTTTAAATTCAGCAGCAGATAATTATCTTACCTTTGTACAAATAACTTCAGAGCAAGACGGTCTGTCTTTCCTTTCTTTCTTATCCTCTGTATCTCAGGTCTTTATGTTACTGCCTGGCCTGAAAAAATAATATATAACCTGAAATATTTATATAGGATAGTAATTACATTCACTATTAAATTATAACAAATACATCAGATATGTCTTGATATAGCTGCAATATTAAATTCAGTGTAGCTTAAGTAAAGTTAAGTGGTATGGTGTTTTACCAGGAATGTGGAGCTGAAGGAAAAATAAGAAACATTAGAAACAAAACCAAATTTCCTAAGTTTCAAAATTACCTACATTTAGCACCCCAAAATGATATAACTAGTCCCATCAGATTAAACTAGACCAACCCATACAGATATCCAGGTTTTCCATACTATCAAATGAAAAACAATCAGTGTTTCCGTAAGCTTCAGAGAGTCATCTTGACCAAGCCCACAGGAAATCCAGCACCACCTTTTTAAAGTTCAGGAACCTAACTGAAAGCCCACTGCTTGCCTCTGTCTCCTCAGGACCAAAGGCTACAGTGCTTTTTGGGAACCAGGTGCCTACAGCCTGCACAGGCTTCTGAAAAGACATCTTCTGGAAGAGGGCATAGCAGTGATGGCAGCAAGCTTCTACCACATGAAAAGCTTGTGGTCACAGCATTTCACAAAAAAGTGAGAGATCTGGGCTTATGGTTGATTTGAAGCTGCCTGATCTCCCACCTTCCAGATGACTATCCTAAACTTTAGTCGAGGAGAGGAAGAGAATAACCCCCTCCACACAGCCAAATCCCCCAAATTAAAAACACAAACAACGAGGAATCAGCAGGACAAGTTTTGTTTGGAAATCAACTGCTACCTTGTTCCACTACTCAAAAGAATTCTTCATTTGGTTCCTCTCTCTCCTCCTACCATTTGTTATGTTAAGCGCTATTTTAAATAGATTGAGGTTTTATTGAGAAGGAGCCTATTTTGCTGCTTATTTTTCCATATTTAAGTATGTGTGGAGTTGAACTTTCAAGTGAGGAAGGTTCAAGTAAGGTCACAAATTTTGAAAGCGAGCCTCCAAAAAGTTCTAATTCCCAGAATTCCCAGTGCAGTCATTTACTTCACAGTACACGTGCTCATATGCAAACTCAGCTATGCTTGCCACTACAAGCAGCCCTTATTTCAGTGAACTGCTGGTGGAGTGAAGGGCTAAAAGCAACAGATTAGTGTCAGTTAAGCCACCAATTACTTTATATGCTGCACATTAAAATATCAGTTTTATCTTTAAAAAAGTAATTGAAGTTTATTGTTCACTTTTATGGCTGCTTAGCACCACAGTATAAAGCAAAGCAGGAGAGAATGCAAAATCTCACCTTACATTAGTGATTCATTAAGATTAGTTTAGTTTCCTGCCAATCTGATAAGTGGTCATCATACAATTTCTTTCAGAAAATTTTAAAAAGGATTTTTACTGTGAAAATGTTCTGTTACCTGGCACAACCTTAAGTGTTGACCAGAACTCTCTTGTAACTGTTTCCTCCAGTAGCAAAGAGCACTTTGCTCATAAACGACTCTAACACGCTCTTTCAAATCAACTTGTTGGTCTTACATAACAAAGCACTAGAAAGAATATGTTGTCTTTTAACTGTGTAAGCTTGGCATATATCATTTATTTCACTGGCTTGGGTAATCCATGGGATTGTCTTCATCTTTACTCAGGCACTCAAATCCTTTCCCATCCCCATCTACATTTTCAGCTGGACCAGCCGCTAGCGAACAGAAACGACCTCGATTAGCCAAAGTTAGCTCTGCACTTGCACTTAGAACTGCTATAGCATGAAATTCCTGGGTGACCGAAACACTACAGTATGACAATAATCATGCATAGTCTTACTGTTACATGAAGATAATGGATATATCTACCCTGCCACTCATGCTGCTTCCTGCCTCTGTTTTGGACCACCAACTCCGAGATAAAAGCAGAGCATATTTTACGGCATGTCCCACCCCAGGGGCCACTCCCAAAGGGCAGTATTTTAATAAGACAGCATAAATTTGGATCCTTCATCCTAGAGAGCCCTACAGGCCCACCCAACAGGACGTTGCACCCTCAAACACTCCACGGACTGGCATGCGATACCCCTGGGCACACTGCACACTCACTGAATTATGCTGCAAAATCCTCACTTTGGTGGGCTGCAACACAGCTTTTGCTATTTCACTCTGAATTAAAAGCACTAAATAGCTGTATCTTAGCGCAGCAGGGACACCACAGTACCTAGAAGAAACTCAGATAATGCAGGGTGTATTTTGGCCAGTCTGTTTTGGAAGAGACCAGTTTTCTAAAACAGTTTGAAATGTGGAGATAGACCAGTCCTTGCCAGTTAGCCTTCCTTGACAACAGAGATTTGTCCCTGTTTTGCTTTTACTAACAGTAAAGAACAGCTGTAACCTCCAGGGCTATGTATAAAAGTTAGGCATGGTCTTAAACCCAGGAGTGGTTTGTGCATAAGATTTCACAGCAAAAAACACAGCTTTGCAGGTCCACAGACCTTTGTTAACACTGTGGAGAATTTTTGCCAGCGAGTTCAAAGACTCATTTTAAAGAAGGGGGAGGAAGGGGATAAAAAAGCAGTTAGTTCCCTTTATACTTTTGAACTAAATATACATGGCTTGGGATGTATTTTAATGAATTACAATTTTAACATTTTATTGAGAGAAAAGAAACTGCACCCGAGCAACTGTTAAACTGTTTTGAACTTCCGTGTGTGAAATGGTCAGAATATTAGTCTTTTTGGATGTCTGGACTACATTCATTCTGCTCCAAAAATAAATATTTGCTATAGTTGCTCTTGACATCTGCTGCTTTAACTTATTTACAGTCCATGACCAGATTCTTTTTCTGTGAGGTTATTTTCTCTGATAGTCTCTTAGGAGGGAGCTTAACAAAAGCTTGAAACTTCAGTGAAATCACGCCCAGGAGTTGTTCTGTAAAACATATACACAAGAGTGCTTGAACGTCCAAAAAGCAACTCAGATATATGAGGAAGTAAAGAAGCAATCTCAGTTTACAAATATACTGTATGACATTTTTTGCTCTTTGACAGTAAACATAAAACTTGGAATTGTTATTCACACGCAGACAGTACTCTGAATGACTTGGTGACATCATCCTATTGAAGTCAACAGGAAAAGTTCCACTTATTTTACTGGGGCCAGGACACCCCTCATGTCCAAACCTGTTAGTTAATAACTAGATGTTCGTTATTTAAATTAAGAGGAGCATTTCCATCCTTACAGAACAATTATGAGTATATGAGACAGTATGAATCAAAAAAAAAAAAAAAAAAAAGATCAAGAGCGGAGGGGAAGGTTTAAAAACATATCCAAAACTAACTTGTTTTATAAGAAAGCCTAAAGACTAGATAAAACATATTTTATAATGTATTACACATATTTGGGCTTAAGTAATTTCTGATTGTCTTCTTATGAGTCTAGCTACTAGAACATTGTATGGGTAATGGATGTATTGGATGGGTAATATACACTTTTTACTTTTCTGCACCAGAGCATTATGCTTATTAATTACTATGTACTGATTTGTTTAAAAATTTGTGAAAAAGCTACAATTTACCTTGCATTGTTGCTTTTAAAACACTTATGCTAACATATATTAAGTGTTGATAGACTTAGGGGAGCACAATTTAAAATGAAAAGAGCAAATATGCTAATATAAAGTTATGCAAAAAGTTCCAACATAAAAAATTCAAAACATAAAAATTCTATCTACATTTTATAATCAGATTGGCCACATGGTTTTAGATAAAACGTATTCAATATACTCATTAAAAATTAAGACATTTTAATGGTCTTAATATAAACCTTAAAAGTAGTAGAAAAAAGTAATACGCAGCTTTCTCTTAAAATGAATTACATATACACATATAAATTCAGCATTTCCTTTTATTTTACAATGCCACAGAAAGTTAATGCAAAAAAATTTCACGGGGAACTGATAAAAATGTTTGCTTTGTGATATTTAAAATTTATTTAAGTATGCTTAAGCACAGGTTTACGCTATTCAGTATTACAGAGCTCCACTACTCATTCTCATGTCGTTTCTTCTTTCAAAATTAAGGACTGATGAGTAGCCCTCTGAAAAGGAGAAACTATCCTGTTGGTTGAGGCCAGTAATCCATCTTTCTGTCCTATCTATCTTATTTATGGTGGTTGCCAACCTCAGATGATTCTGACAAAGTAGTAATAGAAAAAATATTCTGAAGTACACCAAAAGTAATTGTTCAGTTTTCCATTTCTCATATATACACCCTCACAAATACATTTATTAAGGTATGTAGTCTAACCTAGATTATATTCATATCCTTTAAAACAATGAGTTAATTTTTCACAAATTAGTCCAATGTATTATAATAATCAAAACGGAAATTGAATTTCATTTATCTTTAATACATTGCAAAGTCATGGCCTTCCTCCCCAGATACCAATTGAATTATAGCTGCATTGATTTTAATTCCTAGACTATTAACCAAAGTCACATGTTTCAGTAAGTTGCACAGAAGAGGTTTATTCCCCCTTGCAGAGGTATAAACTCCATTTCCAGAGGTGTAAACTCCATATTCTTGTTTCCTCCCTTCAAATAAACCAAACTAACTGATACTAAGACACACAAATTGTAACTATTTAAATGACCATCAAAAACAGACGAGAAAAGAGAAACGGGCTATTACCTTGTGCATGCAGCTATTCCGTCCTCTTCCCATTTTCTTATTAGAGAGAGATAAGAATTGGTAATATTCCCTCCTTCACGTTGTAATCTTGACAAAATTCTGCTGTTGTTGGACTATGTGCAGAAGCATGTACAAAAAAGAGCTGTTTCCAGCAGCCAATCCCTTTGTCCTTGGACCTCCCAAGCTTCTGTGTGATCAGCACAGGCTTTGTGGCAATACAATAGGGGTTAAACATTTCCCTGTATTTATTTAAAAGCAGAGCTAAATCTGCTTAGCTGCACGAATATTTTAGTAAAACGATGCTCACTGCATTATGCTCTTTTCCCTGCTTGTTTGTTGCTAAGAGTAATTTTCTTTTCTTAGATAGAAGAAGCCAAGGGAAAAAAAAAAACTCTGATTCCTCCTTATTATACACAGCGCTTAAATAACACAGCCAGTCAAATAACAAAGATTTTTATCCAGATATTTCCTTATCCAGAATTTCCCCCCGAACAACTGCCCATAGCTTACCTCTTTTTTAACTTAGAAATCTCGTTTAATTTTTTTCCTTTACGTGCTACTTGATGAATTGCCAATGGTGTAGCACTCAGCTCACCATCAGTAGTGCCTGAGAGGCTGATTATTGCAAAAGCCGCTATTTATTCTGACAGGTGAAATTCCAGTTCAAGCAAGCAAATGTATCCATACTGAGAAATAAATGAAAACATTTTAGAAGAGCTGAATGTGCTTGCCCACAGTATTAAGGCCACCAATTTCTCACTGCACATGAACTTTCATTTTCCAAATAACTATCTTGAAGCAACACTGGTGCAGACAGTAGCTTTTTAAGAAAGAAACCCTATTCTAAACCTTACATTTCTGTTCTGCCATAAAGCAAGATTTAAGTTCAGTTAAAATGTTTCTAATTTTAAGGGGTTTGCTGCTTTTTATAGATAGCAATCTAAGTATTCTGTCAGCATTTATTAGCAACAGCATTAGTTCAGAACAATAACTTCATCTGCTCCTTTGAAGCCTATTCTGTTTTCAAGGCTTATTTAGAATACTGCTGTTCTTCACAAAAGCACAATCTACACATAAGAATCTACTTCAAAGCAGACTGCCAATGAGGTTCGGCAATGACTGCAACCACCTGACCTCTTCAACATAACGAAACAGAACCAGAGCATCTTAATTGAGCTCCCACTTGACATATATATCTTGCTTCTAAAGCTGTAACTAACTTAGCTAAGAATAGTAGAACCTTAGAAAAATAGAAACTACAATTACAGGCAATTTGTTTTTGACTTGAAGATTTATCGTCAAATAATATAGTGTTGATTGGGCAAAACCTCTGCCATTCAAAGTTATTCCTTTTTAATTGACATTTACAACTGTATATTTTAATGACACCAGCTGACATGAAAAGTAAACAATTAGCTACTTACTGCACCACAAACATGGTACAATATTAATCTATTATTCATACTTACTGCCATTTAATTCTTGCAAAAGCTCAATTTTCAAAATTGCTATTTGCTTAGCTTCAAACATTCCTTCTAAAATGAAGTACCAAACAAACAAGACAATCTTCCTTGCCAATGCAGTGTCTTAAATATTTGTTTCCCTGTGCTTTTGACAGCACAGAAAATTAAGAAATTAGTCAAAATATAACAGATTGAACAGATTTTTTTTTTTTAACTGGGTTTAAGAGGAGATTGTTCTCTGAATTTTAGAGCTGAAAGAAGAAGGGATGGGTCTGATTTTGTAGCCTGATTGACCAAGCTTAATCAGAATTATTTCTGCACACTGCTTCACTACAGCTGTGGACCTATTAAACACTAAATGTTTCTGGAGGCCCATTCCCTTTCAGCTTCCCACTGTGACTCGTGCTTTTCAAATAGTAGCTACGCAGTGGGCTACTAAAAACATTAAAGAAATGGAGGTGCTGTATTTAATGGACAGCTCAAAACCCATAACAAAATCTGTCACTTGACCGTCAGGACGGCAGCTATCATAATAAAACAGATTCTTTGTGACGGAGAGTTGCAAAAGAACCCTTCAAACTGATTCTCTTACCTTGCAATACATTTTCATTCTGAGAAGGTTTTCAGTGATAGCAGCTATTTTTTCTTCAACAAAAATAACCGTGTCTGCTTCTGAAAATGTTCAGTGAGATACACGTATTTTCTGATAATCATAATATTATCTCTTGCATCCAGTTTTACATCTTATTACCATCTTAGCCTCAGGAAGCTTTTAAACAAATATAACCACTAGGAATGTCTTATTGCATAATTTATATATTAACAAAACTCCTTTTTTAATCTATTAAACTATTTAAGCTAGTTCTAAAATGCAGCTTATTAAATGGACTTAAATACCCTGCCCTAATTTCTCTTCTTCATTAAAAAAAAAAAAAGGTCATACAGCCCCTTTACTATATTGACTATATGTAACCAAAGAAACATGGTTAGCCATATTTCAGTCTAAAAATAAGTGACAACAATATAAAAATGTTATACCAAACTTTAGTGCCAACAGGCTCCAGAGTTCTTAAATTTTCAAAGATGGTGATAGGGAAAAATCAGAAGTAAAATATTTTGCTAACATGTAGCTTCCTTATACTGCTTTTAATGTGTACTTAATGTAATTATATTAACTTATGCGAAGTAAAATAGGAATGACTACAGCTATGTAAAACACATGTAATACAACTATTTCACACAGCTCATAGAACAAAAGATCTTTTTGGTATCTAAAAAATAATTAACAGTTAACTTCAAAATTCCATTTGGACTGTGGATGAAGTCAGCATCAGAAGCTGTTTTCTTTGTGAGAAACTGTGTACTGAACATAACTGTGATGTGCACATACACTACACAGGTAAGTCACTCCTTACTTTGAGACTTGCCATTAAAAAAGATGAAAATCAGATTCTGAAAAAAACCAAGCAATTGCCTGATGATACTGATTTCACACCCAACTCTTTTTTCTTGATTTTTTGGTTTTCCTCCTCAAATGTCCCCAATTTTTTTCTAGACTGATGGCAATACTCAGAAAAAGCCACAAATTATTTATGTTTTCTAAGGTCAAAGTCACCCCCCACCAAAATTTAGCTAGTGTAATACTCAGCTGAGATATTCAAGTAGTTCAATCGTTAACCAGAATTTAATGCCAGGTGCTGACCTCTGAGAATACAGTTATGCCAAACAGGACAAAAATGTGTAACTGCAAGGGGAGGGTCATTCAGAAGTATCCAGGGATTGGGTACAAACCTAGCAAAGATAAACCTAAGATAAATCCAAGATAAAAGATGCTTGTGTGGTTAGGTCAGTGCAGCTAACATAAAATAATTGTGTAAAACAGAAGAATCATGGCACTATAATGAAATATATTGCTGTTACTGTCATCTGTTATTTTGGACACTGACTGTTTTAAAAGATTCTGTATACCTAATGATTAAAGCTGAAGACATGTAGGTATTACACTTTTTACAGTAAAGAGTGAGGTATTAAAAGGCATGCTTGGGGGTATCATCATCTCCATAAAGTCTCCTAGCATGTCCACCCGGAGGGCACAAAGACTATATTTAATTTTAATGACCATACAAGGACCAAGTGTAGGTATGCTAAATAGGTGGCTGGGGGTTTTTTCATTATTATTCTTTCTTTCTTTCTCTGAAGAGCAGGAGGGAAAAGATTTCAATTTCCTAGGTCGAAATGTATAAAATGCAGAGTCTTGATTCAGCCTTGTTCTCTGTATGCGTATTGATAGAGTCCTAAATTTCATGATTAGCTATTATTATGTTTTACGTTTTTTCATACGCAAACTGAAGTCTAGATTTTTTTCATTTCTCAGTGTTCAATTTACCTTAGATTTCTAGTAAAGTTCTACGATCATAATTCTGTGCATAAAACCATAAAATACATTCTGTCTGCAGTTTCTTTATGAAAAATGCCTTTAGGATTAAAAGAGTTTGAAAAGACTTTAAAGTACAGGTGACGTTCAAAAACGTGTAATGCCTCCCTTGCTGTAGTAATCTGTGAAAGCAATATTCAGTGATATAGCATATGCGAGCGGTCTACTGTTTCAATTAAAAGTGACACTGTGCTAATACAATACATAACCAGGGCAGGCGGCGGGGGGAGAGAAAAGGGAGAAAAAGGCATGTACAAGGCTGATCTGGGCAACATATGCATGATATACTCTGTGTTTTAAGGAGTCTAATTCTTCAGTACTGAATAAAAGTCTAGAGGCTAAAGTTAGCAATTAAAAATACATGGTAATGGTTAATCACTAAATTAGCTGAAGATTTCTAAGAAATATACTACGAAATACTAAGTCACATGTGCATACTTCAGCTTGTTCCTATATGGAATTGTGTATGAACAAGTATTCACTAAGCACCTTTTATCAACATTTCAACAACTGAGTGCTTCAAGTACTTTGTATGCCTTCTGTCAGCATTTGGTTGTGCTGACTTATCTCAGGTAATTACCCATCCTTTCTAACCTTTCCAGCACATCCTAGGAGAACTAACTTTGTTGGAAGCAGTCAAGACAGTAAGAAGTAGCAAGTAAGAGCTTTCTGGAACTGCAAGAGACTCAGTTCTGCAATAGATCCCAAAATGCTAAAACACAGGCAGGTGGACCCACCAAGGCCTTTCTAAAACATTCCAAGAAGGAAAAAAGCAGTAGATATAGACCATTTAACATCAAACAATAATGCTGAATAAAGACTGAAGAAATAGTTTTGGCAGGACAATATAGCTTCACAGGCATATGAAGACATATAAGAGAATGCAGTCATCTGTATATCCTTCATTCCAAATATTTGGATTGGGAGGTGAATTTTGAAGAGTGAAGTTAAGGGCTATTCTCAAATGAATATTATGAAAATTAGGATCCTCTGGTGAATGTGATAGAGCAAAATATGTTTTCTTTTCCACAATGTTCTATCTAGATTAACAAGAAACTACAAGACTGATTTTTTATATGAAAATTTAAAAAGTTGTAAGAAAAAATTTAGTAGTAGGAAGTATGTAGGAGATATGGGCATTAGATATGCTAAAATATTTCATAAATAAGAAAAAATGTGTTTTTTCTCTTATGTAGATAAATAGTACTGATACAGAACGACAAGCTTGTA